GCTGGCATGTGATACTGCAAAAATGCCATGCTAATCAGCTGGGAAAGTAGCTTTATACAGTTGGAAGAGTAGCACGTTCATGTACTTATGTCTCGTGTAATTATTCGGCACGTTGCGTGGTGCCACATATAGACAAGAAAAGATAACTAAGGCTTTCCGGCTACACAGTTCAACGACGCGCCTTCAATTTTACATTATAGACCTTAGTGTGAGATGGGTATGGTGGATGGAACCTCAATATATTGTAAAAATATTATGATTAAATTCACCAACTTTGGCAAAAGTCATTTCGTGGCATGGGGCACATCTGGCCCCTTCGTCCAAATCATGTGTGACGGGCGACTTTAACTTTAGTCAGTCTACTCGCTTGTGCCTTCGCTATTCCGAAGTACGATTCTAGAATTTCAATAGAAAAAAAAAACAATTCTTTTAGCGTCTTCTAGCAAGGCCCACTGAAGACATCCATCATTCAACAGAACAGCATTGATTTTGTCTTGAGAAGCAAGACTGCACATACGTATGCTTAGGCCACAGATAGTTTAGCAACTAGACAGTCAAATCAAATTGTAACTGCGAGGTTTCAAGCAGCCAACACAGCCCGAAAATACAACAGTGCTGAAAGCACGCAGTGGGCGCATGTAGATTAATTTGCTGCATGAGATGGCGGTCAAAACCGCCAAGTGAGACTGAGGTCCTAGCCAGTATTTTAGGCCTTCACAGAGAAATTGCGCCAGTATTACGGCAAAAGGCTTACGCTGGCCCACTGAATGCAGAAAGTGTCTACCGGGGCGCTGAAGAGAAGAAATGAGTGAAGGCCCTAGAACTAACGCGATGACAAGTTTTCGCTGGCCGTCTGTGACCGTATAAGGACGCGGTCTTGGTTTTCGACTGGGTGCACGAGGTCACAAGGAGACCGGCCAAGAGACTCAGCTTGGCACAGACAGAGTTAATTGCCGGTTAAGTCTGCTCAAACGCAAATCGAGACAATGGTTCTTGAGTATAAATCTTTGTGCCCGCAAGGAGTAGGTCAACCAACATTAAAAAGTCAGTGGAATTAAAATTCTGGTCAAAAGTTGCCTCCACAAAATGCGTCCACAGACAGGGCCAACGAGGCTGGCAAGCTGTTGCTACAGATAATTAAAGACGGCTCTAAACAAGGCACGGCTAATGGGCGGATAAGTTTAGAAAAACGGCGTTCGCGGACCGAAGGGACTATATGTTAAAAACAAACTCGACCCTATCAGGTGCGGGCGGCTACATAGGAAGGCTGAATGCAGGCGATTTCATGACAGTGAGGAAGTTCAAAGGTCCGACATTCACAGCAGTGACACCTTCACTTGCACGATTTCATAAAAGCCCGAGATCGCTTTTCGAGGCAAGGCAAAGAACCCTCTGTCCCGCGTGACCCAGTAACAGTTCGGAGGTAAAGGGAAATAAACTCAGTCGCACTTATTACCGCACACTTGTCATGGTGTAATCGATTTCACTGACAGCATGGCGCACTTAAACCCTAACAGGGTGATCATATCCCACCTAGATGTTTCACAATGGTTACTCGGTGTATCTGCTAGTGAAGTGATAGATCACCTATGCGAGTTTATTCATGACCCTTGGCAGGAAATAGCAATAACCATCGGCATGCTGAACGAGTTGCTATCAAAATCAGTAGTAAAATTAAAATCCCAGTTTGATGACCAAGCAAACAGAATGCGAACCAAATAGCGCTGAAGTCATCTCACAGTCAAGCTCTGGGCGGAGTTTATGAGAAAACTGCAGAGTTTTCAATGATCATTCTACATTTGAAAGCAACGACGTGGACGATTCCTTCAGTAATGCGGGTAAACAAACTTACGTGAACATCTTTCTGGAGTGGATAAACTAGAAATCTTCCGGAGCAGAATTTTACAGTGGACGCCAAGACAGAGGGATTTATATCATTTCTTCCCGTAGCATTGAGAGTGGCTGTCGCAAGGAAACCTGATCGAGACGGTAAAAACAGCTCAATAGGCTTGCAGACCTTAAGTGAAAGCTGTATTTGCTCCATCGTTTTCAGTTTGATTGGCGTATGGTGGTAGATTTGAGATTTATTGTAGTCAGACACGTATAATGGTGAGTATACGAGAGGGCCGCCCACCACCAAAGCGTGTCGAGAGTACTACAGAAAAGACCCTCTAAAGAAATGTACCGTTTCGAAGTTTTGTTTAGAATCATAGCAAGAATCCATTTAGGTTGGTCTTGTCTAAACCCTCTTCAGCTGCCAAAATGCCGGCGCACTTCCTGACAAATTCATTTCTACGTCGACAGACAGGACAGCCAGGCTTGCACCCCAGACTAGCCTTGTGTAATCTTTCTCCCTCCTTGCTCTTGTTGAATAAGCTGCGCTGGAGGAATAAGTTAGTGCTTAACCAAAGTTATAACAACGTCTCATAATATGGCTTGGGAGGGGGGACATTGGCAACAAAAGTAACGTGCGCATCAGAGAGGCTGACGGCAATTAACCCATCCGAACTCCCTGAGAGCGTTCAGTTGCGACGGCACAAATAATCAAAAGTATATTATGCAAAGCGTCTTGCGGAGGATGAAATGAACACTGGCCTTTTGTTTATTTCCCAGTTTACTCAGGTGTGATATAAAAAAGGAAGTTACAAATGTATTTTACTCACAGAGACATTGTCGCTGAGAAAACCCGCCAGCACGCCGCCCACAATGCCACCAATGTCAAAGATAGTCGAGAGTACGGCTGCCTGTTCGGCGGAGACCTTCTCGACACTGATGCTGGCCAGAAAGTTGGGTAACCAATACAGAAAGGTGTAGGAGACAAGTTTCGAGAAGAAGAGGGTGAAGGCGTATGCCAAAACGTTCTGAAAGGCAGAAGCAGGTAGGTTTGTGTTACCAGCTGGTATGACAGGACTAGGCGCACTGAGTGGGGAATCCAGAATTTGAAATATCCAAAATAAACAGTGCCGCCGGCTAAATAAATGTGCCGTGGGTCGTGCCGATAAAGGAAGAGGACAGAATACAAATAGAGAACCCTAATATTTTTTGTAACTGCCCCACAACTGAAAACTAGGCAGATGAGCGCATATATGAGTTCACATGCAGAACGTGGTCGCGGGTCTAGATGTTTCGCCAGACTTATGCAATCGATGTAGTTATAAGGAATATAACAGTCCGTTAAACTAGCGTCAAGTCCATGCAAACCCGGTATGAAGGAAAGCGAAGTTGGGCGCTATACAGACCACATCCAACAGCCAGTGAAATGATTCAGACAAAAGGGAAAAATCTCCGCCTGACCCAGGTGAGCCCGTGGTTCAGGCGCCAAACCAGTGAGCTGGACTGATGTTTAGTTCAAGAAGTCAGTCAGTCCATAATAACATATAACAAGTAGTGAAAATGGAAGGGACAAACCGGTAGGCAGAGTGCGGAGGTAAACGAGATTGGCCGTTCCTTCACATCATGAACCTCAGATAGGGTCTAAAATAAACGCAAAACCTTGAAAATGGAGAAAATTTGCCCATTGACTAAAGTTCACGAACTTTATGTATCACGTGATGAGGGTCTACTAGAAGAGAGGGGAGAAAAAGGAGAAAGAACGGGTGCGTTGGCGGGATATGTATTGGGGGAACACCTTTTTTATTACCAAAATTAGGTAGAGCTTCTAGAAGTATAAAAATATTTCGAGACTCACAAGTACTGCAGGAATTTACGGCACTTTCAATGGTGGAGAGTATGGAGGGTCTTGATTGCTTCGCTAAAGCAAATAAACCTTTCAAGCACGCCCGAAAATACTCAAGCTTGTTGTATGTGCACAGACGACAACTCGATAGCAGTCAGCGTACTCTGAAGGGAAAGGTTCACCAAGTGGAAACCTTGTTTGGAATGGAGGAAGGTAAGCGATGGAAAGATAAGTGGAAGTTACGAACGGACGGGCGAGCGTACAGTAAGAATGACGTGTAGCGCTACGCTGAGTCCACTGCTAGTCCATTTATCTGACTTGTATGACTTCGCTCAGGCAAAAATATTTGCACATGTCCAATAAAGTCGGCATTGGTAGGGACAGGGTTTTGGGCCTGGTCTCACCAATCGAAGCCAAACAGCTATTTGGGGATAATGTCGTTTGTCATGCGACAAGCGACAGAGAGAGAATGTAAACATACAGGCAAATCCAAGAACAGGTCGTGATTAAAAACGAGTGCCACAGTTAACTGTACACGCGGCATAAATACAAAGTGACAAATGATGTGAGTGTAGTTAAAACAGGGAAAAATGTAGTCTGGGAAAATAGATGCCCGCAAGCCGATGATGTAAACTGACCCTGACATCTGTGTAGTAGCTCGGTGTCTGCTTTTCCTTGGCCAAGAGGCTTGCCGATGGGGTGGTATCCGAAGAGTAGGAAGAGAGTTGCAAGTGCGCGTAAGGTTGATCGACAAGGAAAATGAGCACAAAGTAGGACGAAAGAAGAAGGACAACGCCTGGCACGATGAAAGATGCTCCCCACTGCCAATTTACAAATAGACCAGCAAGGAGAGAGCCGATAACATTTCCAGTATTTGTGTTTGCATTCCAAATGCCCATCACTAGGCCCCGTCTAGACGAGAAAAAAATCCGATTGGCTGCAGATAGTGAAGATTGTGGGCATTCAAGAAGATCGTCCTAAGCGCAATGTTGCACTCGGCGGTGCACCGATAAAGGAGACATCAGAACGACTTGACGTGGCATTTTAAGTGGAAGACTATGGGAGAATCTAGAGATTGTAAGTTCCCTAGCGGTTCAATCTGCAAAAAACTTAAATTTAGGTCGCAGGCAAATGCCGAACAACCTGAAGATGCGGGCGTGGAAATGACCTATCAGAAGCAAC